TCGGCGTCGACGGCTCTCGCGCGCCGCTGTTTTGCAATTCTGTTCTGCACTTCGAATTTTTACATAATCGCGTTTCAAGGCCGGATAATATTTATACGATAATTGACGCCGACACGCGGCACGGAATCGCTGCTCCAAGTGCTGCATTATGGAAATATAATAAATAGGGTACGATGGAATTATCTGTTCTATCATTTTAAATAACCCTTCTATAACTATTTAGTTCTTAATATTTGGTTTTATACGTGGTGAATCATTTACATATTACAACTTCTAGTTACTATAGATTGATACGGTTTGAGTTGAAAATTATTATTATTATTTCGACCTAAAATGTTAGGAATATACAATTTTATTTAAATAAAAAAAGTTGATCCTCAAAATTTGGAAATTTTTTATGAAATGCATAATTTAAAAATTATTTGAGGTTATAATCTGTATATTATATAATCATGAAAGTTACATTAGCAACTTTCATTTTGAAAATGATCCGATTCTATCATTGGCACTAAATATTCGCTCAGGCGCGATTATTGACAAAATAATTTTAGGGTTAAAAACAAATAAATATATTTTAATATAAAATGACAAATGTTCTTGACCTTTTATCAAATATAAAATAATACGCCATCTGATATATGAAAATGATAATTACGAACATGATGTAAAGCCATAAAAGTAATATGAAAAGTAGATATTTCTTTTATAGTACTTTCAGTCAGCATTAAAAGGGTTAATCAGATCAGTCGAATGCTTATTGTCAAACTACGGATTTTAGGCATAAACAACGAAAATAAGTAGGTCGATCTGAAAACAGCAAAAGCATTTATTTTTTAATAATTCAAGAACATTGCAGTATTATCTGCAACTCATTAAAATTATTTAAAAATGAAACAAATGTGTCTGTAGTTTCACTATCTTGCAATTAATGCGGACAACGTTCGTGTCGCATAGAAATCGTACTTATTGCGAATGATTGCATTTTCGATGCCGCGTCCACAAATAGAGCAAACACATTCCAGCAGGGTGGAACCGGCGCGAATAAAATTTCCAAGTCGACCGTAACAGCTCGATGGTGGTTGCATAAGCCCACGTAAAGGATCGCGGTCCATGGGACTCGTTTGAACCGTTCATTATGGAGATCCATAGGAAGTATTATGCGTCTATATTATGCGCGATGCAGACGGAATTAGGTGTTGCAGTCGTCGCGCGGAGCGGCGCGGCGCGCAGATAAAACGCGAGGCGAGAACTTTCGGTAATGGGCATTATTATCCGCGCGATGCTTCGCGATTACGGCCGACCCACACCGTGTCGCAGTTTAGTCCCATTTACATTGTTAATAGAATCATTATTAGGTTATCGTGGCGATTTATCCGGCTAATTGGAGCCGGTGTTTTGCTACGGGACGGAAAAATACGTTGAATGGAGCCGAGCCGAGTCGAGCCGAGTCGAGCCGAGGATGCGAGCTTTAACACGGGCACCGTTCTCCATTCCGTCCGGGAATATTCGGACGTTATTATCTCTCTGATACAGCCTGCGAAATCATAGAGTAGCGAGAGTGTGTGCCCGGTCCCGCTTCAAAAAAAGTTAATCGTCGAGTAGCGCAATAATTACTTTCGGGCTCCCCTGTCTAAGGAGTTTCTATGCGATTCCGCCGGGAACAGACGGTTCTTGATCTCTCGGTCAAACCTGAAGCGACAGAATTTCCGAAACGGTTGCCGCCTTTACGAAAATCTCGGGGTTCGTTTTAATGAATATTAATGATTGTCCTTAAAACAAAGGAACGAAGTAGTTTACATGTTGCTGTTTATTGGACTTTCACGATACAAGTAAGTAGCAAATCTTCTTTTATGCTACAGTGGTGTGCATAATTGAACCGTTCACAGGCCAAATCGATTAACTCCACTTTTTGAAATATTTTAAATCTGAATGTCAAAGCACTTGTTTTGGTCGTAACCTTTTTTCTTTATAATAAATTTCTAAAATAATACAGGATAACACAATTAAAGAAGAAAATATTTTTGGTCTTCAAATAATAAATAATTTATTTCAGGCAATAACAACAACATCAAGGTTATTCTAAATTATTCATTCTATATGTCTTTACATGATAGCAACATTTGTATTTATGCATTATACAATGTTTATTTCAATTTTTATTTTGAAGGGAATTTTGAAAAACAATGCATATTATTTCATCACATTTCTCCAGTTTATGTTTTATGGAGTTAATCGATTTGGCAATCGAGCGCCTCAATTGTAGGCTGTGGTAGTAACTTTTACATTGTAACTGATACCTATTTTTATTTTCTATTATTTTTAATATAGAAATATACAAATCAGATATTTTGTTAAGTTCTCGTTTAGATAGCAATATACTATTCTTTTATACTTCATTGGCGTACGTAAGTATAGACTAAAAGTACCTTTTACATTGTTACTACTATTTACTCGAAAACTTAACAAAATTTCATATTTATATATAGGGTGTTCATCCTAATGGTCGCACCGATTTTTTAGGCACTTACACTAATCTGACAAAAAAATGTTTACAACAAAAGTGAACGAGTACTTGCAAGAGATAGCCGCTCATCGCGATTCCTATAATCTATATCAATTAATTGATTAATTAATTAAATCATTCGTACTTCAACTATTAATTTCGTGTTTTAGTGACAAAGTAAAGGGTGTTTTTAAACACTGGAAAAAATAAGTAGATCTGGGCGATGTTGCTAGAGTAAATATTTACCAAAAATTCTTTTTCGCACGTGTTTGTCATAAGTTCGTAAAATTCGCAGTCTCGTAATTGCTCTCTTCGGTGGACCACTTCATTCCTCTATGGATCACCTGCACGATAAGGCGATCGCCATTAAATTCGTCATCCCGTGAAGTAGACACGTGCCCCGCGGGCAATTTGCATCCGAGCAAAAAATTGACTCGACACCTTAAAAACTCTGCCGGCGTCATTTACTCCTCATTTTCGGGCGGTCCATGCGCTCTCTCCTCGATTCGCGCAGCTGTGGGCTGCTACAAATTTTCGTCGAATCTATCAAAGGGAGACCAGCCCCCTTCTTAATTTTATCGCGTCAAACTTCTTGCGACGAAAATCCGTCACTTTTACTCTCTCTTTAGTCGTTAATCTTCTGCGGTCGGCGGTTGTGACTGCTACATTGCTGCACGACTTCAACAAGTAATTTTCTTACTTACTGACAGAGAATTATTTTGCTTGTTTAGTTAAGTGCAAGGGTGTTCGTATTTGATGGTTGCGTGAGTGTTGGATGAATGAAATCAAATTTTTCTCGATGTAATGATAGAAGATCGTAATAAGTTCATGTTTGACCAAAATAACAATTCTCTATGTTTCTAATAACGCACTTTAATTTACAGGATTTTTCATTTTGATATTAAAACATATAATGAAAGAGGAATTTTGAAGAATGACGTTGTGTAGATCGCGATAGAATAAACTTATTTCTTACAAATTATTAGCGAGCATGTTTGTTATTTTAAAAATATCATCGAGGCAAAATAACACGATTTGATAGCATACAACAAAAGTTAAGAAACTTTACATATCGTTAACATTGAAGTAGATATTTTAATAGATATACATCTTATTAAATTAAAAATATACATATTATAATGAAGCATGTAACGCATTGTTTATATTGCAATATAGCTTTATTTAGTGCATATGACAAATATAAAAAAGAAAATAAATAATTACAAAAAATGGAATTAATATTTTCGTTTATACAACACAAATTTTAATCCTATGTCAAGAAGATTTTGCTACATTCAGGAAAATGCGCCTGTGTAACATGTTTCTTAACTTTTGCCGGAAAATATATGTCCCTACAATTATAATTTATGATTGCATTGAGTACAAAATACTTTAACAATTCCATTTCACGATTGTGTTTGACTTGATAGTTATTTCTCTAGATCTATTAATTTTGTTCTTGTACTAAATTAACCGTTTATAGTTCTGTTTTAAAAGTATATTGTTCTGTTGTTTCTCTTTTATCACCAAGACGATTTTGCATGATAATATTCATATCTTAATTCATACATCAGAGAAAATTCACTGTGATAAAAAATTATAAATATAAACGTAATTTATTTTAAAACCAAATAAACAATATGGATTATGAAGAAACCACATTCGACAAAAATTAATCAAAACGCGAGTTTCTTATATTTTTTCATTTTAGCCAATTGTAATATAAAAAGATAAATCTTGTAGACATCTAGTTTTTTTAACATCTCCCGAAAATACAAATCATTTCATCCACTTTTGAAAAAGTTATTTTCTTCTAAAAAGTGACCAAATATTAATGCGAGTCACTGTATGTCGGTATTATTTCTAGCAGCGTGAGTCATTTCAAAAAGCCCAGTCATAAAAATGCAGTTAACACATTGTTATCTTTTCTCATATTATGTTATACTTATCTTTCTCATATTATATTACATTTCAACATATTAATCCCCCTAGATCAACGGCCAAGAAATCAAAAAACTACCAACTAGCATAACTCGTTATCAACGTTCGAAAAATGAAAGACGCCTACCAGCAGCCCCGGTGAACAACATTCGATGAAATGGAAGACGTCGATTTACGTATCCGGTCAACGATGCGTTGGCGCGAGAACAGGCCGCAGAAATTATCGTTCAAACAGTCGCAGCATTCGAAGTGCAAACGGCTAAAAATCTCTTGTATTCATAATTGCCAATTACATCCACCTCGTCCCGCGAATTCGCTAAAAAGACAAAGCCATCCCACCGGCGAAGCAAACAAAGTATATACCAAACGTAGCGGCAATCGACGAAGAAGAAGAAGAAGAAGAAGAAGAATAAGACGAATGAGAAGTAGCAGTCGAGGAAGAAGGAGAAGAAAAGAAGGAAAAAGAATAGTGAAAGAAAGGGTGTTTGAGCGGCACAAAGAGAGAAATAGAGAAAAACAGATAGATGGGCATGCATTCGGACTAAAACTAGCATACCTTTCGAAAGCGTAGTGTCTCTCGTCAAATCTGTAACACATAAACAAGCATCGTCACTACACGGCATTAGTGCGGGACACGGCACACGAGGGTCATTCGAAACGGAAAAAAAGGCCGGTGTGCCCGACCCGTTTTATAAACTAGTTTCTCCCCGGCGAGAGAGAGAGAGAGAAAGAGAGAAAAAGAGAGAGAGAGAGGAGGAATAGATAGAACGAGAGAGACAGACGGACAGAGACAGAGAGATAGAGAGACCGAGTTGGCCGAGGTAGGACGGAATAAAGAACGCCGGGGGATGGAGGACAAAGTGAGGGGTAGCTCGGAGGAGTCCGGCAGGTGGAGAAAGAAGCAGAGGTGGGGAGGAGGCACAGCGAAGATTATTTGAGCCGGTAGACGGGTAGTTTGGTGCACATAAGTAGTTATACCTATAAGTAGACATAATCATCACCAGCGTAGGTAGGCAGACAGGTAAGGTTAATTCCCAAACCCTGTATTATGGTCCCCGAATCAACTTTTCCATAGTATAATAAGCAATTTTATGATGTGCGCTCGTAATTATATTGAGATTAGATAAGACCGGCCCGTTTAGTCTGCCGGCTCGATGCATCATCAAATCGGCAGGAACATTGTCCGACTCGAAAAAATTCGAGCGAGTGTGTGCGTGGCCATTGGCGGTCCAGTTTTGTCGCGTCTTCTTATTGGGCAGGATTTGCACCTCCATTAGGTCTTCTCTTCTTCAATTTGTTAACCAGTTCGGGATTGTGGGACCATTCGTAGCAACGTGTTCCTCGATCCCTAGGGGCCTCGGGTTTGCGTATAATTGGCGTGGTAATTCTAGATGGAGATATTTATTTGCGGCGGGCTATATTATTTCGGTTCGATGCAATTATCAAAATTCTTGATGGAATTTCGTCTTGATTTAGATGTACGAATAGGTATGATTTTAATCCTCTACTGCATACCGTTTCCGATTGGGAAACGTTCGCTACCAGCGTCACTAGCGTACATAGTTATATCTATTGCAATTTATCGTATTAAATACATTGTACACTCTTATAAAATATGATAATTTTAAACGAGAAGCGTTACAACTTTAAATAATTATATTCGCAAAATTAATGTGACGTTCTTTACATGAAATACAAAATCGAGGTCCTCACACATGTGTGACGCTGCTAGCGAACGTGTGATTTTCAAATGTTCCATAGGTGGTTTAAAGAGCTAAGTAAAATTGAAAATTCCGAATATGTTGGTCCCATACAAGAAGATTATACCTTCCGCGATTTTCACATGAAATAAAAACTTACAATATTTTTTACACTCGTATGTGTATGAAGTTCCCATATTGGACAGTCATCAAAATCATTAAATAATGTTGACCTTTTTATTTCTTGTTTATTTAACAGTAACAGACAAATCATATTTTATAAATTTGAGACTTATGCTTACCGATGATATTGACAAAACAAAACGATTCTAACATTTGAGCCGTTTATTTTGAAAGTGGCATAAGTCATTTTGTTTTTAAGTCGGTCACTTTGTTTTTAAGTCGACATATTTAAGGGTTTGCGTTTTAACACGTTTAAAAATATGGATGCTAACTTTCGAGAAGATTTACTTGTATTTGTTATCTCAGGATACTGATATTTTTCTCAGTATAAATAATTTCGTATAAACATTAAAAAATCACCACTTTTCATTACGGTAAAGCGACTTATGCCACTTTCAAAATAAACGGCTCATATGTTACACTTGCCTCGTAATTATATATTTACTCGACGGTGATTCGATTGACGACTGCCTTTCAAAAAAATCGATACAATCCCATGAATTTCGTGCGCGTTTCAGAACATATTCTTTGATAAACTTGTAACTTGTGTCTCACGACAATAATCAAAAAACGACCCGTTTCTAACGTAGATTACACTCGCCCCCATGATTAGATATTTACACGACGATGATTCGCAAATGTATTCTGAAAAGTATCGGTATAATCGAGCGAATCTGGCGCGCATTTTAGGGTATCGGATCGATTCGGAAATCCTGAAAATCGGTGCGCGTTCCGGTAATCGAAGGGAACCGGTGGATCGAGGGGGGGGGTAGGCTAGGGGGCCGATTGTACCGCTCTCGGGCGTGCAACTTTTTGCCGGCCGAAACTCAAGTTCACGACAAACAAGCTCCGCTTGACACGGTACATTTACAATGCTATTTTTCTCCTAAATGGAACTTCTTCTGATATCGCGATCGAGAAGTCAGCTTTGCGGCCGTTTTTCCGATCCCATCGAGCGGAGCGGGCCCGCGGACCGGAATGTCGGCCGAACCGATAAAAACCGAATCAAATATCTACCGTTCGGCCCGGACCACTCGACTAATGAAAATACCCATTGTTACTCCCTTGGTTTTGCGCGGAGAAATTTTGCGACTGCAGTATCCCGGCCTCGTGTGGCATTTCACTGCCGGACGTATTAGGCTGAACACGTAATTACTGCGTTTCTTTACGCCGAGTNAAGTCGGTCACTTTGTTTTTAAGTCGACATATTTAAGGGTTTGCGTTTTAACACGTTTAAAAATATGGATGCTAACTTTCGAGAAGATTTACTTGTATTTGTTATCTCAGGATACTGATATTTTTCTCAGTATAAATAATTTCGTATAAACATTAAAAAATCACCACTTTTCATTACGGTAAAGCGACTTATGCCACTTTCAAAATAAACGGCTCATATGTTACACTTGCCTCGTAATTATATATTTACTCGACGGTGATTCGATTGACGACTGCCTTTCAAAAAAATCGATACAATCCCATGAATTTCGTGCGCGTTTCAGAACATATTCTTTGATAAACTTGTAACTTGTGTCTCACGACAATAATCAAAAAACGACCCGTTTCTAACGTAGATTACACTCGCCCCCATGATTAGATATTTACACGACGATGATTCGCAAATGTATTCTGAAAAGTATCGGTATAATCGAGCGAATCTGGCGCGCATTTTAGGGTATCGGATCGATTCGGAAATCCTGAAAATCGGTGCGCGTTCCGGTAATCGAAGGGAACCGGTGGATCGAGGGGGGGGGTAGGCTAGGGGGCCGATTGTACCGCTCTCGGGCGTGCAACTTTTTGCCGGCCGAAACTCAAGTTCACGACAAACAAGCTCCGCTTGACACGGTACATTTACAATGCTATTTTTCTCCTAAATGGAACTTCTTCTGATATCGCGATCGAGAAGTCAGCTTTGCGGCCGTTTTTCCGATCCCATCGAGCGGAGCGGGCCCGCGGACCGGAATGTCGGCCGAACCGATAAAAACCGAATCAAATATCTACCGTTCGGCCCGGACCACTCGACTAATGAAAATACCCATTGTTACTCCCTTGGTTTTGCGCGGAGAAATTTTGCGACTGCAGTATCCCGGCCTCGTGTGGCATTTCACTGCCGGACGTATTAGGCTGAACACGTAATTACTGCGTTTCTTTACGCCGAGTGTCACCCTTCCCTGGTCCCCGTGTACTTTTCCTATTTCGGCTCGGGTCTTGCTGAATTAAATCGACAAAAACCGTTCCACGGTGCTCGACGCCGTGATTTTCGGAACGCCGTGTCGGCGTCGCGGATGTATCTGATGACTAGACTGCGGAAGTTTATTCACTCGCGGTACGTAGTGAATATGCAGACTACATGCACCAGTGTGCAAACTGTATGCAAGATGTTTAAAAAGTATATGCAACATAGATTCGGCAAATATGCACTTGGGTAGATACTATAATATTCGTAAAATTCAATGTATTTAATTATTGTATACAATGTGAAGTACATAAAAATGTATTTAATATTACACAAACTATACTAAAGAATAATTATGTCGTTGACGTTCTACGTATTATTCAATTATTGTCTTTTAGGCATAAGAATGTTACACATGTTATATAAATATAATATTTGTACCTGCATCAAACTCTGATAGCTTTTTAATCTGTTAACTGTATAAATGTTTAAAGTATTAAATGTTCAAACTCTATTAACTTCGTCAACTTTTTTAGTATTTGATTATTAATATTAGGTTTCACGCATAATTTAAGTGACAATAAATTACAAATTCTTAATTGCAAATTCATGTCGGAAGAAGTTTAAATGCAGAAAATAGTCTTTCAGCATCACACGATGTAACTGTTGCATATTTAAATTTACTCCACATTGGCATCTTGCAACATCATCTAGATGATCCGTCGGCAGTCCTTCAAAAATTTTTGAATTTCATGATATGGTTATATAATCATTTGGTTATTTGATTGTATACTAGAATGGGAGATTTTTTATGAAATTTTTTATGGATTTTTTAACACACATTCTGTTGTTTCTAAATACACACGATCCCAAAGAGGTAATTTCGGTAGTTTTTATAATTTCTATGCTTTCTGTTGGTCGTTGATTGATTTATCATTGCATAACATTTGCAAAACGATTTCTATGTTTCGTATTCACACGAGGAAAGTGTGTATCGAAAGAAATTCGGTCTTTGCCGATTCGTTATTGATTCTCTTTTCCGACGTGGGGAAAAGGAACAACGCTCGCTTTCTGTCTCTTTCTTTCTTTTCTCTTGCTCTCTCTTTTCTCTCTTTTTTCATTCCCTCTCTCACTCTCTATCTATTTTCTTTCTTTCTCTTTTCTCTCTCTTTTTTCTTTCCCTCTCTCTCTATCTTTTCTCTCTTTTTTCTTTCCCTCTCTCACTCTCTATCTTTTTCTTTCCCTCTCTCTCTCTATTTTTTTTCTCTTTCTCTTTTTCTTTCTTTCTCTCTCTCTCTCTCTTTCTCCCCCTTCTCTCTCGCTCTCTCGCTCTTTCTACTGAGATCGTTGAGGTCCGCGACAGCCGCAGTCAATTGCCATTACGGGAAATTAAATCAGCGGTGCTTCTATTTACACAGCCCCCAATGCCGTGTAAATTGGTCGACTATCGAGATAACGCCGGCTTCTGGCCAACGAACGGAGGATCTTTCTCCGAGACACCTAAAAGAAATCCAATGTACGCTATTCTCG